TCAAAGAGGCAATCACTTCAACATGTCATGAGGTCCTGGGTCACAAGAAGCACAATCACAAGGAATGGATCACTGTTGGTACACTGGATAAGATTCAAGAAAGGAGGAACAAGAAGGCAGCGATCAATACCTGTCGAACAAGAGCAGAAAAAGCCAAGGCACAAGCTGAATACACGGAAATAAACAAACAAGTGAAGAGGAGCATCAGAACCGACAAACGTAAATATGTGGAAGATTTAGCAACGACGGCGGAAAAGGCTGCAAGAGAAGGAAACATGAGACAATTGTATGACACGACAAAGAAACTCTCTGGAAATCGCCACAAACCAGAACGACCAGTGAAAAGCAAGGAAGGCGAGGTAATCACCAACATTGAAGAGCAACAAAACAGGTGGGTAGAACACTTCAAAGAACTGTTGAATCGACCAGCTCCACTGAACCCACCCAACATCGAAGCAGCACCCACGGACCTCCCAATCAATGTTGGCCCACCAACAATTGAAGAAATCAGTATGGCCATCAGACAAATCAAGAGTGGCAAAGCAGCAGGACCGGACAACATCCCAGCTGAGGCACTAAAAGCAGACGTAGCGGCAACTGCACGGATACTTCACATTCTCTTCAATAAGATTTGGGATGAGGAACAAGTACCAACAGACTGGAAAGAAGGACTTCTAATCAAAATACCAAAGAAAGGCGATCTCAGCAAGTGTGATAACTACAGGGGCATCACTCTTCTCTCAATACCGGGAAAAGTCTTCAACAGGGTATTGTTAAACAGGATGAAGGACTGCGTAGACGCCCAACTTCGAGACCAACAGGCAGGATTCCGTAAGGATAGATCGTGTACAGACCAAATCGCAACTCTACGGATCATTGTGGAACAATCAATTGAATGGAATTCATCACTCTACATCAACTTCATTGACTACGAAAAGGCATTTGACAGCGTGGACAGAACAACACTATGGAAACTTCTTCGACACTACGGCGTGCCTCAGAAAATAGTCAATATCATACAGAACTCATATGATGGATTAAACTGCAAAATTGTGCATGGAGGACAGTTGACAAAGTCATTCGAAGTGAAGACCGGTGTTAGGCAAGGTTGCTTACTCTCACCCTTTCTCTTTCTCCTGGTGATCGACTGGATCATGAAGACGTCAACGTCTGAAGGGAAGCGCGGGATACAATGGACATCTAAGATGCAGTTGGATGATCTAGACTTCGCAGACGATCTGGCCCTTCTATCCCAAACGCAACAGCAGATGCAGGAGAAGACAAACAGTGTGGCAGCAGCCTCAGCAGCAGTAGGTCTCAACATACACAAAGGGAAAAGCAGGATTCTCCGATACAAGACAGCATGCACCAATCCAATCACAATTGACGGAGAAGATTTGGAAGATGTTAAAACCTTTACATATTTGGGCAGCATCATTGATGAACAGGGTGGATCTGATGCAGATGTGAATGCGCGGATCGGCAAAGCAAGAGCAGCATATTTACAACTGAGGAACATCTGGAACTCAAAGCAACTGTCAACCAACATCAAGGCCAGGATTTTCAATACAAATGTCAAGACAGTTCTACTGTATGGGGCAGAAACCTGGAGAACTACAAAAGCCATCATCCAGAAAATACAAGTGTTTATCAACAATTGTCTACGCAAAATACTTCAGATCCATTGGCCGGACACTATTAGCAACAACGTACTGTGGGAGAGAACAAACCAGATCCCAGTGGAGGAAGAAATCAGGAAGAAGCGCTGGAAGTGGATAGGACACACATTGAGGAAAGCACCCAACTGCGTCACAAGACAAGCCCTCACATGGAATCCTCAAGGCCAAAGGAGAAGAGGAAGACCAAAGAACACATTACGCCGAGAATTGGAGATAGACATGAGAAAAATGAACAAGAATTGGATGGAACTAGAAAAGAAGGCCCAGGACAGAGTGGGTTGGAGAATGCTGGTCAGCGGCCTATGCTCCATTGGGGGTAACAGGCGTAAGTAAGTAAGTAAGTAAGTAACTCCCTCCTTTGTTTTGAAAGACTTTTTGATGATTCTGGGTCCATGAGTTTCCTATTCTATAAGTGCTTCCTTGGATAGCATCAGAGAAACTCCCTACATGTGCAAAGAATTTTCTTCTTTATCAGCAGAGTACAGCAGCATCTCTCCTTAACCTATTTTTCTTGTCCAGCTTGAGTTCAATGAGTTTCACTTATCCCGACCGATGTCAAGTGGTATCTCCTCATTTTCGTTGCTATTTAACTGAACCTTCCGGTCTTCCACATTATGCAGACACGCCATGAGCCTATATTATTATACTATTATTGTATTGTATTTATTGTTGCTCTGGCTGTTAGGAAAAGCATCGGCCTCGTGAATTCCGAAGAATATTGACTTTTGCCATGAGGCGCCGTAATTCTCCTGAATAACGATCCCTCAATTCAGAGGGCAAAGTCGAAATGGTTTGATTTGTTTGTTCTGGTTAACGTTTTTTAACAAAACTGTTTTCTATGGGATTGCGTTATTGACCCCACGCCCAACCCTCCTCTTTCACTCGGGTTTCGGACCGGCAATTACCCTAGAAGAGCTACAGGAGTATAGAAATGCAAAACTCGTAGCACATCGATATATTCTTCAAAGCAAGCCAACAGCAGATAAACTAATAATGATACCCCTTATTTTATCGAGAGTTTTTAGATCTTTTGTTAGTAGGAATTAACAGTTTCATATGCTGTTGAAACCCAAGATTAAAATAATTCTCAACAATAATTGGTAATATCCTATAAAGTCAGGCCGGTTTCAACTAACTCATGAGAGACATCAAAAATATTTTGGGCGATTCATTTCAAATTTGCTTAACTTTTTTGCATTTGGTTTTAAAAGCCAGTGTAAAAGAAATGGAAGAGCGCTACTGAATTTCTTCGCTTTGGGAAATCAGCGTTTTAACATTTTTCTTCGACATTCGTCTCGTATTCATTTTCTTAATGATTACTTGAAGCTATCGAATAAATGCGTGTACCTATCGTAATATTCTTAATTTTCAGTTGTCATTACTTTCAAGTTATAATATTGATTACAGTTTAAGAAGCGTAGTGGTGTACTGAAACTAAGAAAACATTCTACCTAACGAAAACCAACAACAGATGGTAGTCATCATATTAAACCTTACTGAGAAACATAAATCTTGTTTCCTAGTTAGTCAAAAATAAGTTTTGATACACATACAGCAGAGTTCGTACTGTAATTCAAAACATTACACGCTAAAAACGCAGTTTTACAGGTTTTGAAATGAAATAATTAACGCAGTCGTCATTGACAAAGACAAATCGTTCAATAAACAAGTCTTTGTCATCTTGATATTGATCAGTTTCAGCAAAATGTGCAAAGGAAAAACTAATATTTGTCAGACAAAGAAAATTCATCGAATACGCCTTGAAAACTTTTACTGCGTCTTGAGCAAAATTTTAGTTTCGTGACAGATTATTTTCTGATGTTTTCAACTGGTCTTCCTTTATTTGATTTATTTACATTAGATGTAATTAATTTTTGGTTGGTTAATAACTAAATGTTCATCTTCAATGCCACACCCATTTTGCTGAACTGCTTGCCTCTCTTATAGCTTGAACTATTGTTGTACAGATAATTTTGTAAAGTTCATCACAATAAATAACCTTTTTCTAACTTCTTCGTTGAAATTTCCTCTGTTGAGCAAACCCCTGCCTAACAATAATTAACGAAAAAACACCTGCTTAATTCTAGTTAATAAAATATGTAAATATCAAAATTAGTAAATATGAAATCATTGGATAGTCATCACTTCATATAGGGCAGTAGTGTATAAAGGATCAATAAACATAAAATGAATAGTTTAAAAGAAGAGATGTAAAAAACTTACGGGAAGAAAGGTAAATCTTCAAACTACTTCACTGTCGTGCTAAGAATGACACCATGTCTAATAAACTCTATCCGAATAAATATTTAACAATCTGTTTTATCAATATTTATTATTTGGTTGCATTAAACCTCTTCTCAAACAAATATATTGTAATAATACTTCAACAAGAGTAATTACTTTTAAATAGAGTGGTACTATTAAAATAATTCATTACTCATTATAAGTAATTATTATTGTACGTAATAAGAAATACAGTAAAAATTAAAAGTGAATTAAGTATAAAACAACCGTTAATTATAATCCATATCAGTTCACATATAGACGTTTTTACTACATTATTTCTTCTCTGTTCAAAAAATGTACACAAATACCAAGCTTCATAAATACATCACGTTCTATCAGTTAAAGTTGACAAATATTTATCAGTGTAGTTTTATCACCGCTGGTAACAATGAAAGTACCAGAATGCACAAGGGTATAGAATAAAATAAACGAATATATATATATATATATATATATATATATATATAGAGAGAGAGAGAGAGAGAGAGAGAGAAACTAAAAACATAACAGTTCAAGAAGGAAGAAGAAAATTCATTTATTTACATATCACTTGCATGTAGATGAATATAATTAGAGAGCAGTGAAGAAACAAATTTAAAGTTAAGTGATGTATAGTGTTTACAATTTTATAGTTAAGTTGAAAAAAGGTGTACTCATTTACGTACACAAACGTGAGAAGGTACCTTAAAATTGGTTAACTGCTAAACAATTAGCATGGCGATGCTGAAATGACATTAGCAAGAATTCTGAAGAATAAATTTATTTCATCACACCATTAATAGAAAGTTTATAATGATTCAATTGTAAGATTCGACGTTCCGCTATGATAACACGGTAGAACAAAACTAAATTCATTGTTGTAAATACTGTGAAACTCGAAAGTAGAACCCAACTAACAACAACTGGTAACTTGTGCCTGTTAATGATTCCCCATCCAAATAACGACAGTGTAAGACATATACGAAAGATGATAAATGTAACTATTTAGAAATGGAATAATAAAAAGAAAGGGGGATTCTTATTGAAACATAAACAAGTTGATTTATTTCATGTTATAATTTTTCAAGTGGAGTAATTTCACGAAATCCACTGAATGGTCATACACATTCTGAGTTGATCCATATCATATTGATAAGTACGTAAGTCATCAAAAGTGTATTCAGCAAATTTCAGTTAAGAGACAAAAATATGTCATTAATTTGGCAAAACTTACATTTCACCTTTGTAAGTAAAATATATAATCACATTTGCAAGTGATATTTAAAAGTAGGGGATAGTTGGGAAAATAAAACTACAAAATAACAAAACGGATGACAAAAGTTAATTTTAGATCTCTTCATTGTTTCCTATCAAGCTCATAAGCAGGTAGGCAGTTATTACGATTGATTGTTTGCTAGTAATATGTTATTTCAATAGAGCTTCAAATATATCAGGTGACAAAATGTAAATTTTGTAAACTGAAATTACTAACAGTTTTACTATATAGGTTAGCTAATGCATTTTACATAAGTGTAAAATCTAAATGATAAACGAGTGAACAAGTCAAGTTTGCAAAATATATCAAATTTTTTTAAAAGGGATCACTAATTTTATTCCAGTTATCTATTATTCTTATGATCGCTGCTTTCTTACATCTATATTTGCTAAATTTTCAAAAATAAATACAAATCTATTTATTCACTAAAATAAGCGCATAATTTCCTGACAGTTGAACGGAATTCTCAGGAGTGTAATATATCATGAGGATACTTTTGTGAAAAAAGGAACAATATTGGTGGAACAATGCGTTTAAATAAGTCAACCAGGTTTCAAAGGTTATGCATTAAGAGTTTAGTTAAACCTCTTAGGACAGATCGACAAAAATAAAGTTGCATTTATTCATGAAGTAACTATTTTAGAGAGTAAATGGATGCTTGATATGTAATTATGATTGAAATGAAAAGATGAACTGTTTAACAAATTGGTTAAAAATCGTAATTTGTAGGCTTTACAAAAATCCTACACGTGTATAGGATTTTACGAATTATATGTACGTCAAACTAAGTATCATGACAAATGATTCCGAAAACAAACCCATACAAAGATCAGAAAAATATTGACAATCGATTAGTCAATCCTGATGACGACTGATAAGTGTCACTAAGATGCGCCAAAAACAGTAGGTATGCTAATCGTTTCTTTAAAAGCACCTTTTATAAGTACAATTTTTCCCATCAGGACTTCCTTTACAATAAAAAACCTAATATTTGGAAGGCTAGGGTCATATTGAGATAACTTGCATGAAATGTATGCACCTTTTAAACCACCAAATAAAAACAATGAAAACTATGAAAGGAAACGCAATGACTTACCGATATTTGCAATAGCATTAAGGCGGTATGCTACTGATTCAGGGTCGATGTTAAGTAATATCATTAACTTTCTTGCGTGAAGAAATATGCTGTTTAGTTCCATCAAAAGCCCAAACAATGCGTAACAAACAAGAATCCTATACCAAGATACAACGTAAAAGCAGGTTAAAACCTATGTTAAAAAGCTGATGAAAACTTAAGGGTAAAAAGGCTACTGTAATGTGATGCAATATTATCTCCAACGATCTTAGTCCAACACCGCCACATATATTATGATAAATGTCGTGGACAAAGTAACCTGGTAAAATAGAATTATGATGAATCTAGTATACCTGTCGCGAAACCCATAATATGATAAGCGAAAACGTTCTCTGAATCTATGATATTACCGACTAGGTCAGGATAAGAAATAAGGCTGAAATAAATATTTTGTCAACCGAAACTCACCAAATAAGCGAACTTAGTCCGGATATAAAAGCGTGGATTATGGAGATGGAGTAATTTCTTAGTCTTATGAACAAGTAAGTGTTTCTCGTAGTTTTATTGCTCGATTGACATGTTTGAAGGGCATAGTCAATCATGTAAAACAGTAGAAATGCAGACACCGAAGTAGCATGACTATTACTGAGGTCTATGTCGACATTCAAAATTCGACCATACAAGGTCATATTTCTTGATCCGCTGCTCTTCAAGTATCCTTTAATGACTCACTTAAACAAGATATAATGCAGTAAGTAATATTTCACTTTAACTCAAGATGCTACGGAAGCACTGATCTACCGAAAAAAATGCACAAAGACAGTTTAAATAACCAAAGGTTTTTTGATCTTATAATCATTAATATTGACCATTCAGCTCTTCATAACAGAGAGTGAACACAATCTTATCAAAATCAGTCAAAACTTCACTAAAGTAATGAAACGAATCTACCATAAAATGTATTGACTACGTCCTACACCATACAAAAGACAATCATTTTCAAAATAGGCTTGTTTTTAATTATCGACTATTTATATTATTAAATGTCCTTAGATATATCATATTGTGGCCCACGTCATTAAATTGAGCAGATATTCTTTAAGCTTGTGAATTTGTTAATAACCTTATACAGTATATCACTGTTGGTGCAATTCTTTCTTTCTCGACACTCGTAGAATAATAAGTAAGGTGCCTTCGATTTTTAGACGAAAGCTGTTTGCACGCCTATATGTTCATGAAAAGACAGCAAAACCTTAAATTCACACTCAATTTAGTTCAGCATGAAACAGAAAATTCGAAACACCTCAACAGTTCGGTTCGCCCTGTACAGTTAAAAATTTTCTGGGAAAACATTGTACCTACGCCAAGGAAGTAATAAGTACCGAGGAGTGAAATAGAATCTACTAGATACTAAACTGGTAGTTTTGAAGCTTTGTGTTTATTGACGTTCGAAGTGATGCTGTCAGGGTTTGCTATTGCACTACATTTTGGTGCTATCAAGGAAATCCAACTCTCAGTTTCTCTATATCCTCCCTCACCTATATTAAGTACATGAAAAACGTCTATGACTTATACCACCATAATAAATCTTGGCTATTATGGAACTGTGGTTGAATGAAGTCTCAGGTATTCTCTGTTGATGGTGAGTATACTTGAGTTATATGGAGACGACGTCCGCCCCCACTGTCGTGATATACAAGTTATGAAACTCACTTAATAACGGCATAAAATAAATAAAACATAATAAAAGTAATGTATTATGGGGAATGACAATAGAGGCAGATGATGCAAACAAGGCTGCATGCGGTTGACGCTCAGGAAATTACGAGGAATTTATTAAATATTGCGCATAGAATGGCCAATACTTTGTACATAATACCGTATATATTTGGAGAGTTAGATAAAGATCGTCTTGTTTAATAAAGTGATATTTACAAATAGTTGCTGAATGTCTTGGAGGCCATCTTAAGTTCGAGAGATGTTTGTTTCATTTAATATCAAATTACCTTATACTTTTTCATGGCACATTCGGTTTAAAACACATGAAAGTTCAAATCGTGGCGCTTGAAGAGCATGCAAACACTTGCGTAATTCTAGCCGTTGCAGACATAATATGCTTCCCTATTAATTATTTGTTAAACTTTATAATCTCCTTTCTTTAATTCATACCATATGGAATCCAGTAAATATTTTTGCATGTTAATGACGTTGATCCTGACCTCATTAGTTTTGCTGGACACACGCTAGCTAGAAATGCTCCATCACACACCAGGACCAGATCACCGATGTATCCGCTGAGCCTTGCATCTATAGCAACAACTAGCTAGATTAGACCAAGATATCGATAGCTTTCCAAAAAATCACATCGAAACTCTTCAATTACAACGTTGATTTGGCTAAGTTGGTATACTTTGATTAATTTGGTTTTACGTGTAAAGACGTTGTCAGACTCCGAATGCCCGTGGTAGTTTCTAATAATATAGTTTTTAGAGTGAAGTAAATTGGGTAAGACAAAATGGATTACCACATAGTACGATGTACAACTTACGGCACCCGGCAGTGTAAAATTTTGCAACATCAGAAATGATTGTGTAAGAATAAAAAATGAGCAGAAAAATATGTGCATTCATAGTCATTATCTCTGGCTGTGATATCATTGTGATTCAGCCAACTAGTAAGGAGTGAAGTTATGCTACGTTCAATCGTTGCATGCCACGGATCTGATCGAACAGAAAATCTTCGGCTCCTTTAGTTCTCCTGGGTCTCCATCATGCTACTCGAAAGCCATCGCAATAATGATGTCAATCATCATCTTCTTTTATCTCGGAATTTTTGCTTTTCAGCCTTCTCAGCATGTCTTACAGTTGCTTTGTTTGTGTAATAACTGGATTTTACACCTCCCATTTTCAGTTCTCATTTCATTGGAAAACACGACCCATCGCCATGAAATCGTATACCGTGTGAGAGAATTAGGACGAAATATTCCTTCAATCAACAATAATCTTACAGTACATATAATCTTATATAGTTAGCCAGATTTTGTTTGTATTAACTACTGCGAATGATATTTTTCACTTTTTGTTGCGAGATTTGGGTTATGCTACATGATGCTGTGAACATATTTTTAATGACATAAACGTTGATGAGCAATCTCTATGTTGTTGCTAGAATTCGTCCCTCAACTCTTCAGTATGTTTTTCTGTTTTGAAACAAATTATAGTTCTAAATTTTTTGATATTACTCTTCACACCTGACCATTTCAAATTGTTGTGGACGGAATAGAAGAAGCTTTCCCCAGGAAAAACCTAGGTATATTGACGGTTATAGAGAAAAAAATTGGTAGATGATAATAAGATTTCTTCTCTTGTCTTTAAGAATAGATCAAGTTTCCTCTTAAAGGACTCCTGAGAAGTCGCTCTTACTAGCTCAGCCGGCAGCGAATTACAGAATTTGACAACTCTTAAGGAGTGGAAGTTGTGTTCATAGTCCATCGTGCGTTGTTGTGTTTCTTGTTTCTGGGTGTTACCCTTTAGCTTTGTGTTGAGGCTAAACCTAAGTAGTTGTTGAAGGGAACCGGAGCTTCCAATTTTAGGGAAATTTCGGGGAAACTCCCGAAGTCAAATGACTTTCACCAACGTTTGAGGTAATTTTGGGGTTCAGGTCTCATTTCCCTCAAATTTAATATAGCAGTTTCCTCAAAATTTCCCCAAAATGTGCCGAGTTTTCCCCCAAATTGGCAGCTTTGGAATATCCGGAAAATTCAAGGATACTGTTAGCCACTAGAAGATCGCCTATAAGACGCCTATAATCTAATGAGAAAAGGTTTATTGATTGTTAGAACCCCTCATAAGGCTTGCATTTGAGTCCCCGAAGTGATTTCTTGGCTCGCCGTTGGATACGCTCCAGAGTGTCCTTATCCCTTTGAAGTGAGAGAGAAAATGTTATGTTTCTGTATTCTAAATGGGGACGAATAAAACTGCTGAAATTTAAATGATGATAAAAACAATGAACTACCTTGCAAGTAAATTTATCACTGTTAAAACATGGCAAAGCCAAAGCATTTCGCATTGTGACTGCCAAAAGTATTGTTGAACTCATTGAACTTGCTTTATATATATTTGCACTCTTACCATTCTTGATTTCACTATAATAACCACCCAAACGTTTGTGCCGAGATTATTTGCTTTCGTCAAACAATCACTTCGCTGAATTTTGGTCACTTTGAACATGTTGTACAACAAATACACTCATATTTTATTTTCAATGAAAACAGTTATTATGGACACGTACTTTCAGTTATAAAAGTATCAAAATCGGTACCCTACTAACTAGTAATTAACACGGAAATCTATATTATTTACCTTTAGTTGATGTTTCAGAGCTCATCGTGAATGTAACTTGATAGATGCGATACAATGGTCGGAGCCTGAACTCGAAATGTGTTATGAATATTCAATTAGGTTGCCTTTGATAGACCATTCAGTTAACGTTTGTGCCACATATTCAGCATCGTAACCAAGTTTTAATAAAATTGCACTTGTAGTCAACGGTGTATGTTTCTTAATTTCTATCAATTTATTGGTTCGAAAGCTTCTATAGTATTTCGAGTCGCTAAGCCCATCAGGCATGATTGAACTACCTAGGTTGCGGAAGATTTAACACTTAAACATGAATATCTGCTCATTAACGTAAGGAATCAGTTTATTTCATTTGGTTGTTGACGACTTACCTTCAGTTGCCTGGTCAAAAGCTGCTTTAAATAAACGTGGAAGCCAAGTTTGACAGACAGCTGAGTTTTGATTCATCAAAACTAATCAGCAAATCTATGTTTTACTTTGAACGGCTGAGAGTCAAAGTGACTAGTTATTAGTGAAGATATGAAAATTTCAAGACATGTATGTCAGTAGAATATTTGAGAAAAGTTACATAATTGTTCATGGAATTTCGGTTTGAAAGACAGAATGATGTCAATATTTAACGATGATGTGTGGGGTAAAATGACAGTAAAACCATGCAACTTGAGAGCTAAAGAATTCCGGTTATGATTTTACTACAAAGTAAGCAAGCCTACTCTGTTAAAGAGTATGTCACGTATTTTCCATTCAATAGTTAACATGCACATCCTTTTAAAGAAATCACCACTGTTTAGTTCTTATCATAATCAACGTACTATTATTTTTACTTCATTTGAAATTCACCTTTTGCACGAAAGTTTGGTGTGGCACTGTGGACTAACGTACACTTTGAAGGCTGAAATGTATATTAAAAGCAACTTAATTAAAATTGGTCCGAATTATATTGACTTTGTTGCATCAAAAGAGACATATCGGACGAACTTGCACTTACATTTACCAGGTTTGTATGGTATAACGCTTTCCATCGAGTGAATCGATTGGCCATAATCTATTTACATAATACTTAAATTGTTGCAAATAGTTGGCAGTATCTACTAAATTTTAAGTAGTTTAATACAGATGTTTTGTTAAAGTGCAGTGCATCTTATAATGAATGAGCCAAAGTTTAAGAATTTGACCTGTAGTGTTCAAGCCATACACACTGTTACGTCGTATTTGTCAGCCACAATTTTTGAAGGACCATCAATTTTACATGAATCGGCGTCTGAAAGCTAGGTGCATTTTAAACTTGATAGACGCACCAATGGCGTGAAGTATTTTTGATCTCTATTTTGACTGTTTGCCAAAAAAAAATTTTTATGTTTGATGTGCTAGCAATCGATAGTTAATATATAGCAGTAGTTTTACTCATAGTGTAAAATAGATAACTTTCAGATTGACCTTGTCCAGTA